AGCACAACAAACTTGCTCCAGCTAGTATTAGGTGCCTCAATGTCTAGTGTTTCCCCGTCTTACAAGACATCACGGAAGTGCTAGCACTAATATGTATATCTATACTATTGTGCCATTGTTGAATGGCGGCTCCCAGTGTTTTTCTTTCAAATGTTAACATTTAAAGAATAATAGCCTCGTCCAGCTTCTAGTTTTAATCCTCCAAGTCTGGAAAAGAGACTAAATGACTGCTTTTATTACTCAAGGCCTTGGGCTACAAGTTTGAAGTAACCAAACACACCCACATAGTTTTATTAACTACCCTATCACATCGCATTACTACATCACACATACTCCAACAACAGGGGAGTCCTGAAAAATCTTGCAGGACTGAATTTATATTGTTTTATTATAACAAGAGGCAGCAGTACAACTATAAACAGTGACCAAGACCCCAGAGGTTTAATTAAGAAAACATTTATTTGCACCAAAAACGAGCATAAAAGAGAGGGAATAAATGATCAACAGATTAGTCTTAATGTCAATGACGCTACGAAAGCCCGTCCCGAGCCAGGAAAAACTCTGATTAAACAGTTTTCTTAAGCATCAGGGCTTCACAAATACTTTACGAGTGTATACATATAAACATTTTTAGCAGATGCAGCTATAAACTATCAATCAACCTGACGTTAATACCTTTTTGTTATTTGTGAGAGGTGTTCACAAGAGTTCCTTTGATGGGATTTAATTCCTAAAAGCAGCACATAAGGCTTCCTTTTACACTTTTTATGTATGTTTTTAACACTGATTCCATTTCAAATCCTAAAATTGACACCCTGGCACAGGCACTCCCAGCCTATACTTTTGGGTTATAATACATCTTATATCCCATCTCCCAGAGGAGCAGCCTGCCCATAATGAGGCAGGTTTTTCACCAGTTCCTCTCCATGTTTCTAATGCATTCACTGTAAGGCTGATAAATACCATCTCATGAACTTCCTGCCCTCGACTACGACAGCAGTAATGGGCTAGTATCAGCCAACAGCGATCAATACGGCCTGCTATAAAAGGTTACTATGCATTTAAAGCCCCGTGGCTCTACCATGCTCAACATATTGGCAACCCATTGACTAAATGGATTATGTTGCCCCCGGCCTTGCTTCACTGTCAATCAAAACCGGAGCACTTAATTGACGGGCTGCTTCACCGTTGAGGCGATCCCGATGCACAGCGGCGGAAGCGTTTTCTAACTCCACCATGTTTTACTGTAAATCCAATGCAGTGAGCAGCTGCATCCCAACAAGCCAGAGCTGGCCATGCTGAAGCCTGGCAGGCCAGCTTGTTGTGTTAAATCAAATTACAGGGTGTTAATGTGCGCAAACTCTTTATGCAGAGGAATACCCGGTGGCAGCTCGCCGCTCCTCAGCCTGGATCGAGGCTTTAATACAGCTCCAGTTGAGCTCCACTCCAGCTGACAAACATTGGACGTGGTGGCACTTGAAAAAAAAAAAGTTGCAACCACCCATCTCTGACTTCGTTAGCACACAGCCTCCACTGTGATACCAGCGGCTGACCCTCGAGACAATAATTACTGCCTAATTAGGGAGATGAGCAGCGCTTAAGCACGGCTTAACATTTAATCGGCCAGCTCAGCGAACCAATGGTGAGATCCAGAGCTTGTGGGCCAGAGCAGCCAAACACCACTCCAGGATAGAAAAACATTTCTCATAGAGTCTGATCTTCTAGCTCACGTCACATTTCACCCACTTCCTCATAAAACTTTTGGTTCAATTAAATGAGAAACACCGGCTGCAGCTACAAGTGGCCCGACTGGGTTTACTTTGCGGGGACTCGAAAGTGTCAAAAATTACACGACGATAATCCGCAGGCTTAATCGAGAGCAGGTTTACGATGAAACCAGTCTGCGGATGAATAACCATATCGGTATATTTGGAAACAGATGTCGCTCCGCTGTTTAAAACGCTTTTTTTTTGTTTTGTTGGTGAGCTTTGAACACGGAAAACTAAATTCCATTGGGATTTCGTGTACTCCAGTGATGTCAACAAACCACAGAAGATCAAAACAAAACCTTCTAAGTGGACGGACAACTCTTGGGTGGAAGAAATCGACTTTGTTTTTTACGATCGCTTAATCTAAATGGAATTATAGTTTAGTCATTTTTGCTCTGAAAATTAAAAACTGCATTTAGAGTTTCTCTGACACCCAGGCGACATCTTGACATGTCAAACATAGAGTACCTACAGATATTTATTTATCATATGAGGCAGAAAAAAGCAGCTCCAAATTCAGAAACTGGACTCAAAAGTTGTGTTTTTTTGCTAATAGTTAACATTAGTTATTTATTTAAATCTGAGCGCAGATTGCTAAATAACCAACTCCACTGCTCTGTAAATATCAGCAACTCAAAAACCCAGATCGATCGCCTGCTAGCTGCAGGTGAATTGTCTGTTATACCATTAAATCAGCCTCTATGTCCTTTTAGCTGCGGATATTTTGGCATGTTTGTGAATGCGTGGGTGCATTTGAAAGATCTCTCCCATTCAAAAAGTTTTGCCTCCATCGCATTCTTCCACGGAAGTCCGGCGGTGTTGCCCCAATGTTTTCCCCGCGACCTCGGGGGCCGCGCCTCTGCCCCGTTCCGTCGAGGTTAAACCTTTACACACTCGACTGCCTCCTAATAGTTGAGCAAATAGCTGCCCTCGAGCCCGATACTGTACTCGCCGCCTGAAAGGGTCTTACTGGATTCAGCTGAATAAATAACCGAGATCCTGTCCTGCACGGCAGCTGGCTCGTGTGTAATTACCACCGGCTCGAGGGTGGTGGTGGTGGTGGGAGGGGAGCCTGCGCGATACCGGACGGTTTTCTAGGCCGCTTTAGGTGAATTTCCCAGGCTTGAATGCACAGAGTGATGCATATCCTGCACTGTACAGGCTGAAAAGACAAAGCAAAACTTTGGTTCCAGCTGAGGTGTACAGCAGAGAACTTCCTCCCCCCTGCAGCGAAGACTTAAAGAGGCGATACGAGCGGCTACGCAGGTATCAAATTGAGGGAGTGGTCCATTGGAAACTATGTGAGACAGACAGTGCAGCATCTCTTGGCTCTGTGCCCCTCAGCTTCACCCTGTACAGCCTGTGAATTCTTCCGTCTCAGCACTGGGACAAATGGGGGGACAGTACTGTGCAGATAAGAGCAGCAAGGTATGAGGACTTCAATCAGCACACAAGACTTGCATGAGCCGCTCATACCAGAGGAGGGTTATTACAGGCAGGAATCCTAACAGCGCTTGTGTGCAACATGTGCGTCTGGCTGCATTCGCGAACGCTCTGATCGCGCATCTCAATCTTACAAAACTCTCCCTGCAAAAAGCCCTCCGCCGTGCCAGCATGCATGTGGCCTCATTTTTCTATGAACAGAAACTGTGTGCGAGCTGCAGCGCATACCACAAGGAAAATGCCTGCCAGCGTTCGAGTTTACACAGCAGCCAGCCGCAGCCCTTTGTCACTGTCAAGCGAGGGTGATTTACACAAGAAACCCAACACTTGGAACAACAAAGGAAGGAGACGAGAAGCCCTCAGCGCAGCGCAGCACTGCACACTGGACCTGTAATTTCAAAGACAACTCATGGCAGCGATGGGTGGTTGTCTCGTCTCCTTGGCACACGGTGAACGCTCACCTGCTGAGCTGCAGCCTATAAAACAGGGATTTCTCTGTGTGTGACCTTTGCACGCAATCAACTGAGGTGTTTTTGGTTGCATGCTTGCATAAAAAGATGATGCAAAGTCAGCTTCTTGCTACTACCCATCCCCTACTGCAACTGTCTGTTCTCTTTCCTGTCTCGCGAACACTTGTCAAATACTTGGGAGGAGTGGGCTTGAACACTCCTTAACACCCGAAGGAGGGAGAGCGGGAGGGAGGGGATTCTCCTGATGCACCGACTGACATCCTGCAACTTTTTTGGACTTTATCAGTCTTCCACCTGATCCTCTAGTATATATAATCCTCCAGGTTTGGTCTTGTTATCTCTCCTCAGGTGCTTTTTTACCCTTCGCCACTAATCAGCTGCTTTATGTAACAGATCAGCAGGTCATGTGTAAGAAGCACCTTGAACTTGTGTCTCCATTTGCCAGGATTGCGTCATGTGTCCCTTGTGGCCCGTCTGGCCTCTCGCATGGAGGGGGAGGAAGGCCGAACAGGTGATTTAAAGTTGCTGTGCTTACCACTATTGCAGCGACAGCTGTGTTTACACAGTGGCTGATACACACCGTTTGAGAAAAATCTATGTGGGTGATTTTTTTTTTCTCTCTTTTGGGTAGTTAAAGTCATTTGCTCAATTAAGCAGCATTACACACAAAGATGTTCCTATGTGGCGCGATCAGGAGCTTCTTCTCTGACTATTTGGGGGGGGATTTGTCTGTTCTTTTGGGATCAATGCCTGATGTAATATTGCAGTGTCAGCAAAAAAAAAGCAGAACAGGGAAAGTAAACAAGGAGGCCAGAGGTGTGTTTGAGCAGTTGACTTGGCACAGAGAGGCAAAGCTTGCACACAGCTGAGGCCCACAGAGACAAACCCAAGAAGTCTGGAGGACAACTGGGAGCAAATATCGAGCCTGACACCGGCGTGATAAGAAGTGGTGGAGAGGCTCGGGGCCCCCACTGTGGCGGATGTTTACGCAAACTCCAGTCAGAGGCCATTTGTAAACAGCTCCAACCTGCTTTTTAAAAGTGCAAAACACCACATAGTTGAAAATCCAAAACATTTGCAAGGCAGTAGGCACTACATAAACAAACTGGCCTGTGTAAACTCGGATTGGCAGGCGGGTAATGGTTTTTAAATAATCCCCGAATGTGATCCAAAACAGTGCAAATGAAACATGTCCTGATCTGCAGTGCGCTGCGCTCTGCAGCCACTGCCACGTTTCTCCTCTCGTGCAGGAGCCCTCATTGCACGAGTGTGTGAATGCATGCGTGTGTGTGTGTGTGTGTGTTTGACTTTTGCTTACTTTTGCACTGCAGGTCCACCATGGCCTGGTACCACTCGTCCTGGTCCGCCTCGTTCTCCGCGGCGATGGCGAAGCTCTCGGCCCGGGTGTACAGCACGATCATGTGCTTGTTCTTGGAGTCGGCCCGCTTGTTGATGTTGAAGCAGGTCTCCAGCGCCACGACTTTCTTCGGGACGGGGGCCTTGCCGCGGAATTTCTTCTCGCTCTCGTAGTACTCCAGCCGGGCCGGACCGCGCTCCGAGGCGGCGCGGAGCACGAAGTAGCGCCGGTGCATGGACTTCTGCTTGCGGAGGTAGCCGCTCCTCCGCACGTCCTCGTAGCTGTGGGGCTCACCCACTTGGCTCTCCATGGTGTCTCCTCTATCAAAAAAAATCAAACACTTCTTCTTTTATTTGTCTTGTTTTGCTGCAAGTTTATCGAGGTGATTCAAACATCCCCCGGCTCCGCTCCCCTCCCTCTCTCCCCCATCAGCATGTGAGAGGAGAGCCAGAGGTCGGTGTGGACTGCTGCTGCTCCTCACAGTCCCGAAGGTGGAAAAACCTGAACGAGGGTTTTGTTGGTGGCTGCAACTGTCGCTAGTTTTCTTCTTCTTTGACTTGTTTTCGCTCTCTTACGGACGGAGCAGCGCAAGTTTTTTCCAGGCGCACACTGACGAGCACATGCGCTGCAGCTCTGCGCGCAGCTCCCCCTACTCTCCACTACTACTACTACTACTACTGCGAGTGTTTCCAAAGCGCTGTCTGGGCGGTTTAATCCCATTTACTGCACATCTCAGAGCACGGAGCACATCTTTTTGCAGCACGCTGCCCGTCCTTTCTGTCTTGTCTGTCCCCCCACCCCTGCCCTGCTCGGCTCTGTTCTCGTGTGTGTGGAGGAGCGGAGCGGCAGCTACCGTGGAGCAGCAGTGTCACTCACCGCTGTACTAGTACTCTGGAACACGGTGCGTTCAAGGACCTCACCCGAGCTCCGAAAACAAAGCTTTCAACTTTTTTTTTTTTTTTTTCTTTTCAGATTTTGCACATTTCAGCTCTCTCTGGTCACATTTGATGAACACGTTTTGTTAATCAGACTAGGAAATTGCCAATTAAAGAAAATAAAAAAAAACTTAATAATTATTTTAAAAATATATAATAAATAGAAACTGAATTAAAGATATAAAAAAGATATAAATTGATGATTTAAAAAAAAAATCTATTTCATTTTATTTTTTTATGTGTGGGTTTTAGAGTGTGGTGAAATTGTGGTGTTCAGATAAATCGC